GAAATATTTTACTTATTCTTAGCTCCTTGAAATGCCAGTAATGGTAATATAGATTACGGCAACTCTAGACGCACGTGTATTCTTGGAATCGGTATATACTGCCAGCGTTTGAAATCAGTTCAGACTAAATAGGTGTCGCCTTTTTGGATAAATTTTATCGATCAGTTCATATCTTGGATATTAATTTTACCTCGACTTGATGTATAAGAAGGCGTCGTATCTGTGAATAAAAAATATATTTTTGCACTCTCAAAGATTATAATGACCGTATAATTTTTGTCAGCTGTTAATTCGCCAAACAAGTGAAACGACGGCACAGCATAATATACATGCAAAGAAGACAATTTATAAAAGCTAAAATTTTACTAGCTCTGTTCAATTTTCAAGAAAAAGATTGATGATTTTACCTGGACTAGATGTATTAGAAGGTCTTGTTGCGTTAGCTATAAAAAAAACAAATAAACTTAATTTTTTACAAATTGGTAACATTTTTCTGACCTTCTCTCTCCATGTACGAACCACGGATTGTCTTTTGATTTGCGCCATAAATCTAAATGGCAGCAAATAAATTTTGAAGCGGGATAAAAAAGAGAGAATATAGCGGTTTGTATCAGAAATTTTTCTGCGTCCAGTTTGGAACAAATTCTTTTCGCTTTCCCAGGATGCTTTTTGTTGCTCTGACAATTTTTTGACCGATATGTTGACAATCTCTCAGCGTGATATCTTTTTAACTATTTCGGACCTTCGGACAAGATTCCTCTGGTGTCGTTAGTGTCGGGGGGGGGGCATTTATTCATATATTCATGTTTGGCAATATTAGTTCCTTATGAAATTGATTGTTTTTACGCTATATAAATATTTGCCCTGATGTTAACGATCTTCCGTGACCTCTGTCTTCTAGATAATTATTAACTTTTTCAAGCAGCACAAAAATGTTTAAAAGATTAATGAAAGTTTAGACATTAATCAACAAAAATAATTTATAGATCGATCGAAAAACTTGCTATTCAGTGGATAGCGCCATTTGTCGAATAACCGCGACTGGGCAGTGAAACATCAACATTGAGTACCAATTATTTATTACCTGGATTAGTAGTGGGTGCAATGGTGCCTGTAAAGAGAAAACGAAATTCCTCTTTATTTTATTTTATGTAATTTATGCAGCGTTGTAGTGGAGGTGAATATTCATATACTCAGTTCTACCCGACGGAGCTGTATTTTAAGCTATTGCACTTGCAAGTGCAATCCGTCCGGCAGCATTAAATATATGAATACTCACCCCCCAAATTTCAATCTAGTTACGCCACTGAATTAATGTCGAAATATTTTTCTTATTCTTAGCTCCTTGAAATGCCAGTAATAGTAATTAGATATCATTACACGTTAACGAATGTCTAAATTAACCCAGCGCACTATAACAGCTAAGTCGTCCCCTACACAAATAAATTACTTCATTTCAATTATGTCGCTCATATACGACCCGCTGCTGACGTCGACCAGGTCATTGAAATATCAAATTACGCGACTCAAATACACAATTGACTTATAGCGCATCTTGATCTGGTTGAAGACTATTGGGTTTATTATCCCTTGCTTATCGCTGCAAGGTAAATAAATTGACGGTGACTCGAGGCGTGTGGCCTTTTTTGGATTAAATTTTATCGATCAGTTCATATCTTAGATATTAATTTTACTTGGACTTGATGTATAAGAAGGCGTCGTATCTGTTAATAAAAAATATTTTTTTATATATTTTTTTTACATTCTCAAAGATTATAATCACTGTTTAAATTCTGTCAGCTGTTAATTAGCCAAAGAAGTGAAACAACTTAACAGCTTAGTATACAAAGAAGACCATTTTTAAACGCCAAAAATTCGCAGTTCCCTCAGCTTAAATTTCAAGAAAAAGATTGATGATTTTACCTGGATTAGATGTATTAGAAGATCTTGTCGCGTTGCCTATAAAGAAAATAAATGTATGTAAAATGTAAATGTTTGCCATAAATGTAACTGGCCGCAAATAAATTTTGAAACGGGATAAAAAACGGCAAACAAGGGCCGACAAGATTATGTTAAAGAAGCGAAGAGCTGTCAAACTTATTTTTGTATCAACTATACCTAATTAATAATGTTAGTTTGTACAATCTTTTCCACAACGAATATTCGTCTAAAAACTGTTTTACACATCTCCAGTCGTATCGTAGCGAGATGTGGCGTATTTCCTTGTTTAAATATCGTAGCAAAACGTGGTGAATCTTTAATCTTTATATCTCATCGATTCATTCTACGCGCGATTCGTTGCAATGCGAAACGGACCTAAAGCCTTATTGAATGCATGGTTTGTTTCTGACAATCATGCTAAGGGTTAATTTAAATCGATTTGATCGATTGAAAAACCTGCTATTCGTCGGATAACCGCATCTGGGCAGTGAAATATCAACATTGAGTACCAATTATTTATTACCTGGATTAGTAGTGGGTGGAATGGTGCCTGTTAAGAGAAAAGGAAATTCATCCATGTATTTTTTATGTAATTTATGTGGCGGCGTAGGGGAGGTGAATATTTATATATTCAGTTCTATACCCGACGGAAGCTCGCCCCACTGAATTTATGTCAAAATATTTTTCTTATGCTTAGCTCCTTGAAAGGCCAGTAATAATGATAAAGATTACATGTTAATGAATAACTCAATTAACCTATGGATTATTTCATTTCAACTATGTCTCTCAACGAGCCGCTGCTGACGTCGACCAGGTCATTGCATGAAATGTCAAATTATATAGCTCAAATAGACAAGTGCCTTATAGCATCTTGGTCGTGTTGAAGATTATTAAGTTTATTATCCCTTGCTTATCGCTGCCAGTAAATACTGCAATCGGTACAATTATACTGCAAGCGTTTGAAATCAGTTCAAATAAAATAAGTGTCGCCTTTTTTTGGATTAAATTTTATCGATCAGTTCATCTTATCAGATCAGATCAGTTCTTAGATATTAATTTTACCTCGACTTGATGTATTAGAAGGCGTCGTATCTGTTAATAAGAAATATATTAATTTTTGCACATCCTCAAAGATTGTAATGACCGTTTAAATTTTGTCATATGTTAATTTGCCAAATTAAACAGTGAAACGACTTAACAGCATAATATACAAAGAAGGCCGTTTTTAAAACCTAAAAGTCGGCTCAGTTCAATTTTCAAGAAAAAGATTGATGATTTTACCTGGATCAGATGTATTTGAAGGTCTTGTCACGTTGCCTACAAAAAAAACCAAAAAACTGAAAATTTTAAAAATTGGTAACAGTTTTCTGACCTTTCTCTCAATGCACGAACCACGGATTGTCTTTTGCTTTGCGCCAAAAATGTGACTGGCTGCAAACAATTTTTGAAACGGGATAAAAAATGGTAAAGAAGGACAAACAAAATGAAATTTTTAGAGAATATAGCGGTTTGTGTCAGAAAATTTTTTTTTCCAGTTAGGAGCAAATTCTTTACGGTTTCCTAGGATGCTTTTGTTGCTCTGACAATTTCTTGACCATCTTGACAATCTCTCAGCGTGATATTTTTTCAACTATTTCGGACTTTCGCACTGATTCCTCTAGTGTCGTTAGTGTCGGGGGGGGGGGGGCAATTAGTCAAATATTCACCTTTGGCAATATTAGTTTATTATGAAATTGATTGTTTTTACGCTATATAAATATTTGCCCTCCTATATCTTCCCTGGCCTCTGTTTTCTAGATAAATATTGAATTTTTAAAGCAACACAAAAATGCTTAAAAAAAATAAATATTTAGATATTAATCAACAAAAATAATTTATTGATCGATCGAAAAACTTGCTATTCGGTGGATAGCGCCATTCGTCGAATAACCGCGACTGGGCAGTGAAACATCAACATTGAGTACCAATTATTTATTACCTTGATTAGTAGTGGGTGGAATGGTGCCTGTAAAAGAGAAAAGGAAATTCTTGAATGTATTATTTTATGTAATTTATGCGGCGGCGTAGGGGAGGTGAATATTTATATATTCAGTTCTATAGCCGGCAGTAGCTCACCCCACAAATTTCGTTCTAGTTACGCCACTGAATTTATGTCGAAATATTTTTGTTATGCTTAGCTTTTTGGAAGGCCAGTAATAATAATATAGATTACATGTTAACGAATAACTCAATTAACCTATGGATTATTTTATTTCAATTATGTCCCTCATGCGACCCGCTGCTGACGTCGACCAGGTCATTGCATGAAATGTCAAATTACGTAACTCAAATACACAAGTGCCTTATAGCATCTTGGTCGTGTTGAAGATTATTAAGTTTATTATCCCTTTCCTCATCGCTGCCTGTATATACTGCAATCGGTAAAATTATACTGCAAGCGTTTGAAATCATTTCAAACAAAGTAAGTGTTGCCTTTTTTAGATCAAATTTTATTGATCAGTTCATATCTTAGATATTAATTTTGCTCGACTTGATGTATAAGAGGGCGTCGTATCTGTTATTAAAAAATATTTTATTTTTCCACATCCTTAAAGATTGTAATTACCGTTTAATTTTTGTCATATGTTAATTTGCCAAACAATGGAAACGACTTAACAGCATATTATACAAAGAACACCATCTACAAAAGCTAAAAGTTCCCTTAGTTCAATTTTTAAGAAAAAGATTGAAGATTTTACCTGGATTAGATGTATTAGAAGGTCTTGTCGCGTTGCCTATAAAGAAAATAAAATAACTGAAATTTTCTAAAATTGGTAACAGTTTTCTGACCTTCTCTCTCCTTTCACGAACCACGGATTGTCTTTTAATTTGCGCCATAAATGTGACTGGAAATCAGTCGGCTGATATTCAAATAACATGCAAAATATGTATTCGCACTCGATAGATGATATTACTGAAATTGCCTTCATCAAAGGTTTGCAGAATACAGAAATGAAATATTGCTGAATACAAATAACATTGCTTTAGTTCACGATATGTTTTTGATCAATGTTTTTTTAAACAGAGGATTTTTACCAGTGGGGTGGGGTCGGGGAAAACATGAGGATAAGGCCCCTCATGATCTATATGTTAAAAGAGGCCCAATATGACTAGATCTGATTGTAGCAATTAGTATGAAGCCATTTTACATTCTATTCCATCTCCACTAAAGCCAAAGTTGCAAGAACAGTCGAACGACCCATTGGTATTGCGACATGATGCTTGAGAATGACAGTTATCAATTCCAAGTTCACATTCATTGATTATCTAAGATATTACAATATAAAATACATAAACTCCCATATTTTTAACGGTTAAATCTATGTTTTTTTAACCAAATAGAGGAAATTAAATTGCAAGGGAATTATGAATTATCCTCGTCAATTTTTTTGCATAATATTACCAAATACCATGCAAATAATTAGTATAAAGATGTAAACCTGTGCAGGTTACGCCATCTCCGGTATAACCGTTTTCACAAATGCAGTAAAACGATTCATTCGTATTGACACATGACGCTCCAATAGCGCAGTTGTGTGTTCCAAAGTAACATTCATTTACATCTAAAATATAATATTTACATAGACATGCATTTTAGAATACTTCAATTTTACTACCAGGCAGTTACTCTGACTCAGAGTGTCAGTCTGTTTGTTCTTAACCCTAATTTTCTTACGAGCAGAAAATAGAACAAACTTTTATAAGTTTTAATATTTTCTTGCCGATATATTTGAAACTTATTTCTTACCTAATGGTGTTGAATAGTTCAGAACAAATCCCGGTGCTGACACGCTATAATCCGAGTGAAACACGATGAAGAGTTTGAGTCCAGATGATACCAGGCTTCTTGGTAATTTCCACAGAATCTGCCCAGTTTCGTCGTATTTGCTGAATCTCCATCATAAACTTCCAAATAGTCAAATCCACAACTGTAACTACCTTCCAGCTAAAACGTCATGCATTTTTTGTAAATTATTTGTCAATTTTGCACATACGAATTAAATTGATTTTAAACTGTTTAAAGGTTTAAACTATACTATTCTACGAATTTCTAAGTTCAGTCAATGAAAGATTGCTAATATTCAATTGATAGTGCAATCGTCTGCTGATTAGCTCAAAGTGTACGGATATTTTGAATGTTCTCGTTGTTGTCTGTTGAGGTTATTTGTCGCGCCAGCTTGTTATCTTTTCTACACAATGAAATTTGCCATGAAAAGGCTTGTTTTTTTTCGAAATTCAATAAATAATAAGACAATTTTTCAAGTCGGCTTTCGCAAGTTATCTAGGATATACTGACATTGACCTCTGCCTGAACATTCCGGATACCCTGCGCTCCCTCATCCAATAATTATATTGGAATCGTCACTTCCGGTGAAATGGAGCTAAGTGTTTGGTTGAGAAGAATTTACTTCCATATAAAATTCAGCTATTTATATCATAATATTTCCGCTCATGCAGTTGTCCAATAAAAAGATAATTTTGTTTTCCACTTTAAACTTATAAGCCTTTTAAGCTAAACGACTTAAACGACCATAGAACAACTTAACCCAGACAGTTTAGGCCGAGTTTACGTAACCCAAATAATTTAATGTTTTGTTTTTGTTTTTATCACTGCGTGCCAGGCTAATAATACGAATTCATGCATTTCTTGTTTGTTTCAAGTGCAAATATATGCCTTATGCCATATATAAATATTTTATTAACCTCGTTTGCTCGATCTTTATCGCGAGAAATATCGGTCTTCGATATTTTTGAACAAACCTTGGTTTGAGCTCGTTCCGTTCAAAAAGCCCTCGGTCCGATATTTCTCGGTAAAGATTTCACCTCGGTTAATAAGAAGTAAATATTTAGGAAGAGTAAAAAAATTTTTAATCTTGAACTGTTCTAGGAATAGGATATTAAAAAATTTTTTCCTTTTCGAGAAAAGGAAATAGTTTTTATAAAAAAAATCTGGACATTTAAAGTACTAAAATTATCAGCCCAGTAGATCAACTACTTCTTGATGCCAAACCTATAAGCGAGGCATTTTTTTTCTTTGATATATTTATGTTCACTGACTGTAAAAACAATCAATTTGAAAAGAAATGAATAAGCTATTTAGAAAACGATTACGTGAGTATGCTCCCCCCCCCCGCCTATAAAGCTCGCAACGCTTCTGTTCTTTGTATTAGTTAAACCGTTTGATTTTCAATTGAACTGCGAGCGAATTAACATATCTTTCTCGACAAAACTTGAACGTTAATCGCACTGATACAGCAAGATGGGGGAAATATCGCAAAAACGTTAGTGGATGAAGATCAATATTTAGGAAAAGAATATTGATATAAACATATTTGCATGATGTTACTATGCAAACGTACAAGAATATTGATAAAGTTTACGACTGAGCGGGAAAAGAGAAACGATACACTAGCTGACGCGTAAGCAGTGTTTCGGATAAAAATGATAAAACGATGAAGTTATTCGAACAAAAACATGTTATGTCGCTAAGGTTTTTTCGCCCAAACAGGGCCGGAGGAGCAATAAATTAGGTAAAAGTAGCCTACCAAGAATGAAGTAAACTGTAGTAAAATTTTTCTTCCATTGGTGCTGGAAATGGTCCAACTGCAATCCAAGTAGTGAGGGTATGAAAGGGGATAAAGAGGGCTTGTGAGTTTTCCAGGAGGATACAGTTGACTTTCGCCGCATAATTCTGGAAATATTATTCACACAAACTTATTGAAGGATAGAGCAAAGTGGAATTTATCGCCGATTATTTATTATTAGAATAGTAAATAGGAACATGTTCAAACTTGAATTAGCCTAGACCTATATAGGGGCAAAAGAGCATTAATTGAGGTAGGGAGCACATATTCATATCTTCATGTTCGGCAATTTAGTTTCTCATTCCTCAATGCAAAAAATAATGAAAACGCAATGACAAAGCCCTGTTTTCGAATATGCATCGTTAATAATAATTACTAATAGGTACTGTTACCTGGCGCTGATGTCGTAAAATTTCGTGGAATGTTTTTCGCTGTGAAGAAATAAATTAGTATAATTATTCTCCCGCATCAACTTATTTTGTTTTAGTTTGTATACTATTTAATTATGACTGCAATTGGAAACTATGGATTCCTTGTGAGTCTTGTAACAGTCATGCTAAGGGTTAATTTTTGTCTTAACTTCAACGAAATAAAAAAGATATCAAATTCAAGCGAAGAACTGCTGAGAAAAATGTGTCAACTATGGACGATTAAATCTTTATTAGCCAACACCTACGGCGGATTGCATGCATGTACGAAGGCTGGATATTCCTTTACATAGCAGGGGCCACGAAAGATCGTTAGGTTCGCGGAGGGGGGGGAAATTATTCATTTTCGGGTTAGCAATATTAGTTTCCTACGAAATTGTTTTTTTTTATCGTCAGCTGAAATGAATATATAAATATTTGGCCTCCAGTTTCCAATCTTCCGTGGCCCCTGCATCTACTAGACAATTATTGATTGTGCGCAAAAATGTTTAAAAAAGAAATAAAACATTAGGTATTAACCAACAAGTATAATTTAGATCGTTTGAAAAACCCGCTTTTCGGTGGAGAGCGCTATATCCGTCGAATAAACGCGGCTGGGCAGTGAAACATCAAAATTCACTACCAATTATTCATTACCTGGATTAGTAGTGGGTGGAATGGTGCCTGTAAAGAGAAAACGAAGTTCTTCCATATTTTATTTTATGTTTTATGCAGGCGTAGGAGAGGTGAATATGCAAATATTCAGTTCTACCCGACGGGGCTGTATTTTAAGCTGTTGGACTTTCAAGTGTAATCCGTCCGGCTGAATTAAATAATGAACACTCACCCCCAAATTTCGTTCTAGTTACGCCACTGAATTTATGTCGAAATATTTTACTTATTCTTAGCTCCTTGAAATGCCAGTAATGGTAATATAGATTACGGCAACTCTAGACGCACGTGTATTCTTGGAATCGGTATATACTGCCAGCGTTTGAAATCAGTTCAGACTAAATAGGTGTCGCCTTTTTGGATAAATTTTATCGATCAGTTCATATCTTGGATATTAATTTTACCTCGACTTGATGTATAAGAAGGCGTCGTATCTGTGAATAAAAAATATTTTTGCACTCTCAAAGATTATAATGACCGTATAATTTTGTCAGCTGTTAATTCGCCAAACAAGTGAAACGACGGCACAGCATAATATACATGCAAAGAAGACAATTTATAAAAGCTAAAATTTTACTAGCTCTGTTCAATTTTCAAGAAAAAGATTGATGATTTTACCTGGACTAGATGTATTAGAAGGTCTTGTTGCGTTAGCTATAAAAAAACAAATAAACTTAATTTTTTACAAATTGGTAACATTTTTCTGACCTTCTCTCTCCATGTACGAACCACGGATTGTCTTTTGATTTGCGCCATAAATCTAAATGGCAGCAAATAAATTTTGAAGCGGGATAAAAAAGAGAGAATATAGCGGTTTGTATCAGAAATTTTTCTGCGTCCAGTTTGGAACAAATTCTTTTCGCTTTCCCAGGATGCTTTTTGTTGCTCTGACAATTTTTTGACCGATATGTTGACAATCTCTCAGCGTGATATCTTTTTAACTATTTCGGACCTTCGGACAAGATTCCTCTGGTGTCGTTAGTGTCGGGGGGGGGCATTTATTCATATATTCATGTTTGGCAATATTAGTTCCTTATGAAATTGATTTTTTTACGCTATATAAATATTTGCCCTGATGTTAACGATCTTCCGTGACCTCTGTCTTCTAGATAATTATTAACTTTTTCAAGCAGCACAAAAATGTTTAAAACATTAATAAAAGTTTAGATATTAATCAACAAAAATAATTTATAGATCGATCGAAAAACTTGCTATTCAGTGGATAGCGCCATTTATCGAATAACCGCGACTGGGCAGTGAAACATCAACATTGAGTACCAATTATTTATTACCTGGATTAGTAGTGGGTGCAATGGTGCCTGTAAAGAGAAAACGAAATTCCTCTTTATTTTATTTTATGTATTTATGCAGCGTTGTAGTGGAGGTGAATATTCATATACTCAGTTCTACCCGACGGAGCTGTATTTTAAGCTATTGCACTTGCAAGTGTAATCCGTCCGGCAGCATTAAATATATGAATACTCACCCCCCCAAATTTCAATCTAGTTACGCCACTGAATTAATGTCGAAATATTTTTCTTATTCTTAGCTCCTTGAAATGCCAGTAATAGTAATTTAGATATCATTACACGTTAACGAATGTCTAAATTAACCCAGCGCACTATAACAGCTAAGTCGTCCCCTACACAAATAAATTACTTCATTTCAATTATGTCGCTCATATACGACCCGCTGCTGACGTCGACCAGGTCATTGAAATATCAAATTACGCGACTCAAATACACAATTGACTTATAGCGCATCTTGATCTGGTTGAAGACTATTGGGTTTATTATCCCTTGCTTATCGCTGCAAGGTAAATAAATTGACGGTGACTCGAGGCGTGTGGCCTTTTTTGGATTAAATTTTATCGATCAGTTCATATCTTAGATATTAATTTTACTTGGACTTGATGTATAAGAAGGCGTCGTATCTGTTAATAAAAAATATATTTTTTTTTTTATATATTTTTTTTACATTCTCAAAGATTATAATCACTGTTTAAATTCTGTCAGCTGTTAATTAGCCAAAGAAGTGAAACAACTTAACAGCTTAGTATACAAAGAAGACCATTTTTAAACGCCAAAAATTCGCAGTTCCCTCAGCTTAAATTTCAAGAAAAAGATTGATGATTTTACCTGGATTAGATGTATTAGAAGATCTTGTCGCGTTGCCTATAAAGAAAAAAATGTATGTAAAATGTAAATGTTTGCCATAAATGTAACTGGCTGCAAATAAATTTTGAAACGGGATAAAAAACGGCAAACAAGGGCCGACAAGATTATGTTAAAGAAGCGAAGAGCTGTCAAACTTATTTTTTGTATCAACTATACTAATTAATAATGTTAGTTTGTACAATCTTTTCCACAACGAATATTCTTCTAAAAACTGTTTTACACATCTCCAGTCGTATCGTAGCGAGATGTGGCGTATTTCCTTGTTTAAATATCGTAGCAAAACGTGGTGAATCTTTAATCTTTATATCTCATCGATTCATTCTACGCGCGATTCGTTGCAATGCGAAACGGACCTAAAGCCTTATTGAATGCATGGTTTGTTTCTGACAATCATGCTAAGGGTTAATTTGAATCGATTTGATCGATTGAAAACCTGCTATTCGTCGGATAACCGCATCTGGGCAGTGAAATATCAACATTGAGTACCAATTATTTATTACCTGGATTAGTAGTGGGTGGAATGGTGCCTGTTAAGAGAAAAGGAAATTCATCCATGTTTTTTTATGTAATTTATGCGGCGGCGTAGGGGAGGTGAATATTTATATATTCAGTTCTATACCCGACGGAAGCTCACCCCACAAATTTCGTTCTAGTTACGCCACTGAATTTATGTCGAAATAATTTTCTTATGCTTAGCTCCTTGAAAGGCCAGTAATAATGATAAAGATTACATGCTAACGAATAACTCAATTAACCTATGGAATATTTCATTTCAATTATGTTCCTCATACGACCCGCTGCTGACGTCGACCAGGTCATTGCATGAAATGTCAAATTACGTAACTCAAATACACAAGTGCCTTATAGCATCTTGGTCGGGTTGAAGACCATTAAGTTTATTATCCCTTTGCTCATCGTTGCCAGTATATACTGCAACCGGTACATTATATTGCAAGCGTTTGAAATCAGTTCAAACAAAATAAGTGTTGCCTTTTTTGGATCAAATTTTATCGATCAGTTCATATCTTAGATATTAATTTTACCTGGACTTGATGTATAAGAGGGCGTCGTATCTGTTATTAAAAATATTTTATTTTTCCACATCCTTAAAGATTGTAATTACCGTTTAATTTTGTCATATGTTAATTTGCCAAACAATGGAAACGACTTAACAGCATAATATACAAATAACACCATCTACAAAAGCTAAAAGTTCGCTTAGTTCAATTTTTAAGAAAAAGATTGATGATTTTACCTGGATTAGATGTATTAGAAGGTCTTGTCGCGTTGCCTATAAAGAAAATAAAATAACTGAAATTTTCTAAAATTTGTAAGAGTTTTCTGACCTTCTCCTTTCACGAACCACGGATTGTCTTTTAATTTGCGCCATAAATGTGACTGGAAATCAGTCGGCTGATATTCAAATAACATGCAAAATATGTATTCGCACTCGATAGATGATATTACTGAAATTGCCTTCATCAAAGGTTCACAGAATACAGAAATGGAAAGTTACTGAATACAAATAAAATTGCTTTAGTTCAAGACATGTTTTTGATCAATGTTTTTTTAAACAGAGGATTTTTACCAGTGGGGTGGGTCGGGGAAAACATGGGGATAAGGCCCCTCATGATCTATATGTTAAAAGAGGCCCAATATGACTAGATCTGATTGTAGCAAATTAGGTATGAAGCCATTTTACATGCTATTCCATCTCCACTAAAGCCAAAGTTGCAAGAACAGTCGAACGACCCATTGGTATTGCGACATGATGCTTGAGAATGACAGTTATCAATTCCAAGTTCACATTCATTGATATCTAAGATATTACAATATAAAATACATAAACTCCCATATTTTTAACGGTTAAATCTATGTTTTTTAACCAAAAAGAGGAAATTAAATTGCAAGGGAATTATGAATTATCCTCGTCAATTTTTTTGCAAAATATTACCAAATACCATGCAAATAATTAGTATAAAGATGTAAACCTGTGCAGGTTACGCCATCTCCGGTATAACCGTTTTCACAAATGCAGTAAAACGATTCATTCGTATTGACACATGACGCTCCAATAGCGCAGTTGTGTGTTCCAAAGTAACATTCATTTACATCTAAAATATAATATTTACATAGACATGCATTTTTAGAATACTTCAATTTTACTACCAGGCAGTTACTCTGACTCAGAGTGTCAGTCTGTTTTGTTCTTAACCCTAATTTTCTTACGAGCAGAAAATAGAACAAACTTTTATAAGTTTTAATATTTTCTTGCCGATATATTTTGAAACTTATTTCTTACCTAATGGTGTTGAATAGTTCAGAACAAATCCCGGTGCTGACACGCTATAATCCGAGTGAAACACGATGAAGAGTTTGAGTCCAGATGATACCAGGCTTCTTGGTAATTGGTTTCCACAAATCTGCCCAGTTTCGTCGTATTTGCTGAATCTCCATCATAAACTTCCAAATAGTCAAATCCACAACGTAACTACCTTCCAGCTAAAACGTCATGCATTTTTTGTAAATTATTTGTCAATTTTGCACATACGAATTAAATTGATTTTAAACTGTTTAAAGGTTTAAACTATACTATTCTACGAATTTCTAAGTTCAGTCAATGAAAGATTGCTAATATTCAATTGATAGTGCAATCGTCTGCTGATTAGCTCAAAGTGTACGGATATTTTTGAATGTTCTCGTTGTTGTCTGTTGAGGGTATTTGTCGCGCCAGCTTGTTATCTTTTCTACACAATGAAATTTGCCATGATGAAAGGCTTGTTTTTTTTCGAAATTCAATGAATAATAAGACAATTTCAAGTCGGCTTACGCAAGTTATCTAGGATATACTGACATTGACCTCTGCCTGAACATTCCGGATACCCTGCGCTCCCTCATCCAATAATTATATTGGAATCGTCACTTCCGGTGAAATGGAGCTAAGTGTTTGGTTGAGAAGAATTTACTTCCATATAAAATTCAGCTATTTATATCATATATTTGCGCTCATGCAGTTGTCCAATAAAAAGATTTTGTTTTCCATTTGAACTTATAAGCCTTTTAAGCTAAACGACTTAAACGACCATAGAACAACTTAACCCAGACAGTTTAGGCCGAGTTTACGTAACCCAAATAATTTAATGTTTTGTTTTTGTTTTTATCACTGCGTACCAGGCTAATAATACGAATTCATGCATTTCTTGTTTCTTTCAAGTGCAAATATATGCCTTATGCCATATAATAGATATTTTATTAACCTCGTTTGCTCGATCTTTATCGCGAGAAATATCGGTCTTCGATATTTTTGAACAAACCTTGGTCTTTGAGCTCGTTCCGTTCAAAAAGCCCTCGGTCCGATATTTCTCGGTAAAGATTTCACCTCGGTTAATAAGAAGTAAATATTTAGAAAGAATAAAAAAATTTTTAATCTTGAACTGTTCTAGGAATAGGATATTAAAAATATTTTCCTTTTCGAGAAAGGAAATAGTTTTTATAAAAAAATCTGGACATTTAAAGTACTAAAATTATCAGCCCAGTAGATCAACTACTTCTTGATGCCAAACCTATAAGCGAGGCATAATTTTTTTCTTATATTTATGTTCACTGACTGTAAAAAACAATCAATTTGAAAAGAAATGAATAAGCTATTTAAAAAACGATTACGTGAGTATGCCCCCCCCCCGCCTATAAAGCTCGCAACGCCTCTGTTCTTTGTATTAGTTAAACCGTTTGATTTTCAATTGAACTGCGAGCGAATTAACATATCTTTCTCGACAAAACTGAACGTTAATCGATAAAGCAAGATGGGGGAAATATCGCAAAACGTTAGTGGATGAAGATCAATATTTAGGAAAAGGATATTGATATAAACATATTTGCATGATGTACTATGCAAACGTACAAGAATATTGATAAAGTTTACGACTGAGCGGGAAAAGAGAACGATACACTAGCTGACGCGTAAGCAGTGTTTCCGGATAAAAATGATAAAACGATGAAGTTATTCGAACAAAAACATGTTATGTCGCTAAGGTTTTTTCGCCCAAACAGGGCCGGAGGAGCAATAAATTAGGTAAAAGTAGCCTACCAAGAATGAAGTAAACTGTAGTAAAATTTTTCCTCCATTGGTGCTGGAAATCGTCCAACTGCAATCCAAGTAGTGAGGGTATGAAAGGGGATGAAGAGGGCTTGTGAGTTTTCCAGGAGGATACAGTTGACTTTCGCCGCATAATTCTGGAAATATTATTCACACAAACTTATTGAAGGATAGAGCAAAGTGGAATTTATCGCCGATTATTTATTATTAGAATAGTAAATAGGAACATGTTCAAACTTGAATTAGCCTAGACCTATATATGGGCAAAAGAGCATTAATTGAGGTAGGGAGCAATTATTCATATCTTCATGTTCGGCAATATTAGTTTCTTATTCCTCAATGCAAAAAATAATGAAAACGCAATGCCAAAGCCCTGTTTTCGAATATGCATCGTTAATAATAATTACTAATAGGTACTGTTACCTGGCGCTGATGTCGTAAAATTTCGTGGAATGTTTTTCGCTGTGAAGAAATAATTAGTATAATTATTCTCCCGCATCAACTTATTTTGTTTTAGTTTGTATACTATTTAATTATGACTGCAATTGAAACTATGGATTCCTTGTGAGTCTTGTAACGTCATGCTAGGGTTAATTTTTGTCTTAACTTCAACGAAATAAAAAAGATATCAAATTCAAGCGAAGAACTGCTGAGAAAAATGTGTCAACTATGGACGATTAAATCTTTATTAGCCAACACCTACGGCGGATTGCATGCATGTACGAAGGCTGGATATTCCTTTACATAGCAGGGGCCACGAAAGATCGTTAGGTTCGCGGGGGGAAAATATTCATATTTTCGGGTTAGCAATATTAGTTTCCTACGAAATTGTTTTTTTTTATCGTCAGCTGAAATGAATATATAAATATTTGGCCTCCAGTTTCCAATCTTCCGTGGCCCCTGCATCTACTAGACAATTATTGATTGTGCGCAAAAATGTTTAAAAAAGAAATAAAACATTAGGTATTAACCAAAGTATAAATTTAGATCGTTTGAAAAACCCGCTTTCGGTGGAGAGCGCTATATCCGTCGAATAAACGCGGCTGGGCAGTGAAACATCAAAATTCACTACCAATTATTCATTACCTGGATTAGTAGTGGGTGGAATGGTGCCTGTAAAGAGAAAACGAAGTTCTTCCATTTTTATTTATGTAATTTATGCAGCGGCGTAGAGAGTGAATATGCAAATATTCAGTTCTACCCGACGGGCTGTATTTTAAGCTGTTGGACTTTCAAGTGTAATCCATCCGGCTGAATTAAATATGAACACTCCCCCAAATTTCGTTCTAGTTACGCACTGAATTTATGTCGAAATATTTTACTTATTCTTAGCTCCTTGAAATGCCAGTAATGGTAATATAGATTACGGCAACTCTAGACGCACGTGTATTCTTGGAATCGGTATATACTGCCAGCGTTTGAAATCAGTTCAGACTAAATAGGTGTCGCCTTTTTGGATTAAATTTTATCGATCAGTTCATATCTTGGATATTAATTTTACCTCGACTTGATGTATAAGAAGGCGTCGTATCTGTAAATAAAAAATATATTTTTGCACTCTCAAAGATTATAATCTCCGTATTTTTGTGAGCTGTTTTCGCCAAACAAGTGAAACGACGGCACGGCATAATATACAAAGAAGCAATTTATAAAAGCTAAAATTTTAGTAGCTCTGTTCAATTTTCAAGAAAAAGATTGATGATTTTACCTGGACTAGATGTATAGAAGGTCTTGTTGCGTTAGCTATAAAAAAAACAAATAAACTTAATTTTTACAAATTGGTAACATTTTTCTGACCTTCTCTCTCCATGCACGAACCACCGATTGTCTTTTGATTTGCGCCATAAATCTAAATGGCTGCAAATAAATTTTGAAGCAGGATAAAAAAGAGAGAATATAGCGGTTTCTATCAGAAATTTTTCTTCGTCCAGTTTGGAACAAATTTATCGCTTTCCCAGAATGCTTTTTGTTGCTCTGACAATTTTTTGACCGATATGTTGACAATCTCTCAGCGTGATATCTTTTAACTAATTCGGACCTTCGGACAGATTCCTCTGGTGTCGTTAGTGTCGGGGGGGGGAAATTATTCATATTCATGTTTGGCAATATTAGTTCCTTATGAAATTGATTGTTTAACGCTATATAAATAATTGCCCTCGTGTTAACGATCTTCCGTGCTCTCTGTCTTCTACATAGATATTAACTTTTCAGCAGCACAAAAATGTTAAAAAATTAATAAAAGTTTAGATATTAATCAACCAAAATAATTTAGACAAATTCGAAAAAACTCCTATTCCGTGGATAGCGCCATTATTTATTACCTGGATTAGTAGTTGGTGGAATGGTGCCTGTAAAGGGAAAAGGAAATTCTTCCATATTTTATTTTATGTAATTTATGCAGCGGCGTAGGGCAGGTGAATATTCATATATTCAGTTCTACCAGACGGAGACTCACCCCGAATTTCTTTCTAGTTACGCCACTGAATTTATGCCGAAATATTTTCCTATTCTTAGCTCCTCGAAATGGCAGTAATAGTAATATAGATATCGTTTCATGATAACGAATAACCCAATTACCCTATGGATTATTTCATTTCAATTATGTCCCTCAAACGACCCGCTGCTGACGTCGATCAGGTCAATGTATGAAATGTCAAATTACTTAACTCAAATACACACGTGCCTTATAGCATCTTGGTCGGGTTGAAGACCATTAAGTTTATTATCCCTTTGCTCATCGCTGCCAGTATATACTGCAACCGGTATAATTATATTGCAAGCGTTTGAAATCAGTTCAAACAAAATAAGTGTTGCCTTTTTTGGATTAAATTTTATCGATCAGTTCATATCTTAGACACCAATCTTACCTGGACTTGATGTATAAGAAGGCGTCGTATCTGTTAATAAAAAATATATTTTTTACATTCTCAAAGATTATAATCACTGTTTAAATTCTGTCAGCTGTTAATTAGCCAAGCAAGTGAAACAACTTAACAGCTTAGTATACAAAGAAGACCATTTTTAAACGCTAATTTTCGCAGTTCGCTCACCTTAATTTTCAAGAAAACTGAGATTGATGATTTTACCTGGATTAGATGTATTAGAGGATCTTGTAACGTTGCCTATAAAGAAAATAAATGTATGTAATGCATGTAAATGTGTGCCATAAACGTAACTGGCTGCAAATAAATTTTGAAACGGGATAAAAAACGGCAAACAAGATCCGAAAAGATTATGTAAAGAAGCGAAGAGCTGTCAAACTTAATTTTTGTATCAACTATATACCTAATTAATAATGTTAGTTTGTACAATCTTTTCGACAACGAATATTCGTCTAAAAACTGTTTTACACATCTGCAGTCGTATCGTAGCGAGATGTGGCGTATTTCCTTGTTTAAGTATCGTAGCAAAACGTGGTGAATCTTTAATCTTTATATCTCATCGATTCATTTTACGCGCGATTCGTTGCAATGCGAAACGGACCTAAAGCCTTATTGAATGCATGGTTTGTTTCTGACAATCATGCTAAGGGTTAATTTGAATCGATTTGATCGATTGAAAAACCTGCTATTCGTCGGATAACCGCATCTGGGCAGTGAAATATCAACATTGAGTACCAATTATTTATTACCTGGATTAGTAGTGGGTGGAATGGTGCCTGTTAAGAGAAAAGGAAATTCATCCATGTATTTTTTATGTAATTTATGCGGCGGCGTAGGGGAGGGGAATATTTATATATTCAGTTCTATACCCGACGGAAGCTCGCCCCACAAATTTCGTTCTATTACGCCACTGAATTTATGTCAAAATATTTTTCTTATGCTTAGCTCCTTGAAAGGCCAGTAATAATGATAAAGATTACATGTTAACGAATAACTCAATTAACCTATGGATTATTTCATTTCAACTATGTCTCTCAAACGAGCCGCTGCTGACGTCGACCAGGTCATTGCATGAAATGTCAAATTATATAGCTCAAATAGACAAGTGCCTTATAGCATCTTGGTCGTGTTGAAGATTATTAAGTTTATTATCCCTTGCTTATCGCTGCCAGTATATACTGCAATCGGTACAATTATACTGCAAGCGTTTGAAATCAGTTCAAATAAAATAAGTGTCGCCTTTTTTTGGATTAAATTTTATCGATCAGTTCATCTTATCAGATCAGATCAGTTCTTAGATATTAATTTTACCTCGACTTGATGTATTAGAAGGCGTCGTATCTGTTAATAAGAAATATATTAATTTTTGCACATCCTCAAAGATTGTAATGACCGTTTAAATTTTGTCATATGTTAATTTGCCAAATTAAACAGTGAAACGACTTAACAGCATAATATACAAAGAAGGCCGTTTTTAAAACCTAAAAGTCGGCTCAGTTCAATTTTCAAGAAAAAGATTGATGATTTACCTGGATCAGATGTATTTGAAGGTCTTGTCACGTTGCCTAAAAAAAACCAAAAAACTGAAAATTTTAAAAATTGGTAACAGTTTTCTGACCTTTTCTCTCAATGCACGAACCACGGATTGTCTTTTGCTTTGCGCCAAAAATGTGACTGGCTGCAAACAATTTTTGAAACGGGATAAAAAATGGTAAAGAAGGACAAACAAAATGAAATTTTTAGAGAATATAGCGGTTTGTGTCAGAAAATTTTTTTCTTCCAGTTAGGAGCAAATTCTTTACGGTTTCCTAGGATGCTTTTGTTGCTCTGACAATTTCTTGACCGATCTTGACAATCTCTCAGCGTGATATTTTTTCAACTATTTCGGACTTTCGCACTGATTCCTCTAGTGTCGTTAGTGTCGGGGGGGGGGGGCAATTAGTCAAATATTCCTTTGGCAATATTAGTTTATTATGAAATTGATTGTTTTTACGCTATATAATATTTGCCCTCCTATATCTTCCCTGGCCTCTGTTTTCTAGATAAATATTGAATTTTTCAAGCAACACAAAAATGCTTAAAAAAATAAATATTTAGATATTAATCAACAAAAATAATTTATTGATCGATCGAAAAACTTGCTATTCGGTGGATAGCGCCATTCGTCGAATAACCGCGACTGGGCAGTGAAACATCAACATTGAGTACCAATTATTTATTACCTTGATTAGTAGTGGGTGGAATGGTGCCTGTAAAAGAGAAAAGGAAATTCTTGAATGTATTATTTTATGTAATTTATGCGGCGGCGTAGGGGAGGTGAATATTTATATATTCAGTTCTATACCCGGCAGTAGCTCACCCCACAAATTTCGTTCTAGTTACGCCACTGAATTTATGTCGAAATATTTTTTATGCTTAGCTTTTTGGAAGGCCAGTAATAATAATATAGATTACATGTTAACGAATAACTCAATTAACCTATGGATTATTTTATTTCAATTATGTCCCTCATGCGACCCGCTGCTGACGTCGACCAGGTCATTGCATGAAATGTCAAATTACGTAACTCAAATACACAAGTGCCTTATAGCATCTTGGTCGTGTTGAAGATTATTAATTATTATCCCTTTCCTCATCGCTGCCAGTATATACTGCAATCGGTAAATTATACTGCAAGCGTTTGAAATCATTTCAAACAAAATAGTGTTGCCTTTTTTAGATCAAATTTTATTGATCAGTTCATATCTTAGATATTAATTTTGCTCGACTTGATGTATAAGAGGGCGTCGTATCTGTTATTAAAAAATATTTTATTTTTCCACATCCTTAAAGATTGTAATTACCGTTTAATTTTTGTCATATGTTAATTTGCCAAACAATGGAAACGACTTAACAGCATATTATACAAAGAACACCATCTACAAAAGCTAAAAGTCCCTTAGTTCAATTTTAAGAAAAAGATTGAAGATTTTACCTGGATTAGTGATTAGAAGGTCTTGTCGCGTTGCCTATAAAGAAAATAAAATAACTGAAATTTTCTAAAATTGGTAACAGTTTCTGACCTTCTCTTCCTTTCACGAACCACGGATTGTCTTTTAATTTGCGCCATAAATGTGACTGGAAATCAGTCGGCTGATATTCAAATAACATGCAAAATATGTATTCGCACTCGATAGATAGTATTACTGAAATTGCCTTCATCAAAGGTTGCAGAATACAGAAATGAAAAGTTGCTGATACAAATATAACATTGCTTTAGTTCACGATATGTGTTTTGATCAATGTTTTTTTAAACAGAGATTTTTACCAGTGGGGTGGGGTCGGGGAAAACATGAGGATAAGGCCCCTCATGATCTATATGTTAAAAGAGGCCCAATATGACTAGATCTGATTGTAGCAAATTAGGTATGAAGCCATTTTACATGCTATTCCATCTCCACTAAAGCCAAAGTTGCAAGAACAGTCGAACGACCCATTGGTATTGCGACATGATGCTTGAGAATGACAGTTATCAATTCCAAGTTCACATTCATTGATATCTAAGATATTACAATATAAAATACATAAACTCCCATATTTTTAACGGTTAAATCTATGTTTTTTTAACCAAAAGAGGAAATTAAATTGCAAGGGAATTATGAATTATCCTCGTCAATTTTTTTGCAAAATATTACCAAATACCATGCAAATAATTAGTATAAAGATGTAAACCTGTGCAGGTTACGCCATCTCCGGTATAACCGTTTTCACAAATGCAGTAAAACGATTCATTCGTATTGACACATGACGCTCCAATAGCGCAGTTGTGTGTTCCAAAGTAACATTCATTTACATCTAAAATATAATATTTACATAGACATGCATTTTTAGAATACTTCAATTTTACTACCAGGCAGTTACTCTGACTCAGAGTGTCAGTCTGTTTTGTTCTTAACCCTAATTTTCTTACGAGCAGAAAATAGAACAAACTTTTATAAGTTTTAATATTTTCTTGCCGATATATTTTGAAACTTATTTCTTACCTAATGGTGTTGAATAGTTCAGAACAAATCCCGGTGCTGACACGCTATAATCCGAGTGAAACACGATGAAGAGTTTGAGTCCAGATGATACCAGGCTTCTTGGTAATTGGTTTCCACAGAATCTGCCCAGTTTCGTCGTATTTGCTGAATCTCCATCATAAACTTCCAAATAGTCAAATCCACAACTGTAACTACCTTCCAGCTAAAACGTCATGCATTTTTTGTAAATTATTTGTCAATTTTGCACATACGAATTAAATTGATTTTAAACTGTTTAAAGGTTTAAACTATACTATTCTACGAATTTCTAAGTTCAGTCAATGAAAGATTGCTAATATTCAATTGATAGTGCAATCGTCTGCTGATTAGCTCAAAGTGTACGGATATTTTTGAATGTTCTCGTTGTTGTCTGTTGAGGTATTTGTCGCGCCAGCTTGTTATCTTTTCTACACAATGAAATTTGCCATGAAAAGGCTTGTTTTTTTTCGAAATTCAATAAATAAGACAATTTTCAAGTCGGCTTTCGCAAGTTATCTAGGATATACTGACATTGACCTCTGCCTGAACATTCCGGATACCCTGCGCTCCCTCATCCAATAATTATATTGGAATCGTCACTTCCGGTGAAATGGAGCTAAGTGTTTGGTTGAGAAGAATTTACTTCCATATAAAATTCAGCTATTTATATCATAATATTTCCGCTCATGCAGTTGTCCAATAAAAAGATAATTTTGTTTTCCACTTTAAACTTATAAGCCTTTTAAGCTAAACGACTTAAACGACCATAGAACAACTTAACCCAGACAGTTTAGGCCGAGTTTACGTAACCCAAATAATTTAATGTTTTGTTTTTGTTTTTATCACTGCGTGCCAGGCTAATAATACGAATTCATGCATTTCTTGTTTGTTTCAAGTGCAAATATATGCCTTATGCCATATAATAAATATTTTATTAACCTCGTTTGCTCGATCTTTATCGCGAGAAATATCGGTCTTCGATATTTTTGAACAAACCTTGGTCTTTGAGCTCGTTCCGTTCAAAAAGCCCTCGGTCCGATATTTCTCGGTAAAGATTTCACCTCGGTTAATAAGAAGTAAATATTTAGGAAGAGTAAAAAATTTTTAATCTTGAACTGTTCTAGGAATAGGATATTAAAAAATATTTTTCCTTTTCGAGAAAAGGAAATAGTTTTTATAAAAAAATCTGGACATTTAAAGTACTAAAATTATCAGCCCAGTAGATCAACTACTTCTTGATGCCAAACCTATAAGCGAGGCATAATTTTTTTCTTTGATATATTTATGTTCACTGACTGTAAAAACAATCAATTTGAAAAGAAATGAATAAGCTATTTAGAAAACGATTACGTGAGTATGCTCCCCCCCCCCGCCTATAAAGCTCGCAACGCTTCTGTTCTTTGTATTAGTTAAACCGTTTGATTTTCAATTGAACTGCGAGCGAATTAACATATCTTTCTCGACAAAACTTGAACGTTAATCGCACTGATACAGCAAGATGGGGGAAATATCGCAAAAACGTTAGTGGATGAAGATCAATATTTAGGAAAAGAATATTGATATAAACATATTTGCATGATGTTACTATGCAAACGTACAAGAATATTGATAAAGTTTACGACTGAGCGGGAAAAGAGAAACGATACACTAGCTGACGCGTAAGCAGTGTTTCGGGATAAAAATGATAAAACGATGAAGTTATTCGAACAAAAACATGTTATGTCGCTAAGGTTTTTTCGCCCAAACAGGGCCGGAGGAGCAATAAATTAGGTAAAAGTAGCCTACCAAGAATGAAGTAAACTGTAGTAAAATTTTTCTTCCATTGGTGCTGGAAATGGTCCAACTGCAATCCAAGTAGTGAGGGTATGAAAGGGGATAAAGAGGGCTTGTGAGTTTTCCAGGAGGATACAGTTGACTTTCGCCGCATAATTCTGGAAATATTATTCACACAAACTTATTGAAGGATAGAGCAAAGTGGAATTTATCGCCGATTATTTATTATTAGAATAGTAAATAGGAACATGTTCAAACTTGAATTAGCCTAGACCTATATAGGGGCAAAAGAGCATTAATTGAGGTAGGGAGCACATATTCATATCTTCATGTTCGGCAATATTAGTTTCTCATTCCTCAATGCAAAAAATAATGAAAACGCAATGACAAAGCCCTGTTTTCGAATATGCATCGTTAATAATAATTACTAATAGGTACTGTTACCTGGCGCTGATGTCGTAAAATTTCGTGGAATGTTTTTCGCTGTGAAGAAATAAATTAGTATAATTATTCTCCCGCATCAACTTATTTTGTTTTAGTTTGTATACTATTTAATTATGACTGCAATTGGAAACTATGGATTCCTTGTGAGTCTTGTAACAGTCATGCTAAGGGTTAATTTTTGTCTTAACTTCAACGAAATAAAAAAGATATCAAATTCAAGCGAAGAACTGCTGAGAAAAATGTGTCAACTATGGACGATTAAATCTTTATTAGCCAACACCTACGGCGGATTGCATGCATGTACGAAGGCTGGATATTCCTTTACATAGCAGGGGCCACGAAAGATCGTTAGGTTCGCGGAGGGGGGGGAAATTATTCATATTTTCGGGTTAGCAATATTAGTTTCCTACGAAATTGTTTTTTTTATCGTCAGCTGAAATGAATATATAAATATTTGGCCTCCAGTTTCCAATCTTCCGTGGCCCCTGCATCTACTAGACAATTATTGATTGTGCGCAAAAATGTTTAAAAAAGAAATAAAACATTAGGTATTAACCAACAAGTATAATTTAGATCGTTTGAAAAACCCGCTTTTCGGTGGAGAGCGCTATATCCGTCGAATAAACGCGGCTGGGCAGTGAAACATCAAAATTCACTACCAATTATTCATTACCTGGATTAGTAGTGGGTGGAATGGTGCCTGTAAAGAGAAAACGAAGTTCTTCCATTTTTATTTTATGTAATTTATGCAGCGGCGTAGGAGAGGTGAATATGCAAATATTCAGTTCTACCCGACGGGGCTGTATTTTAAGCTGTTGGACTTTCAAGTGTAATCCGTCCGGCTGAATTAAATAATGAACACTCACCCCCAAATTTCGTTCTAGTTACGCCACTGAATTTATGTCGAAATATTTTACTTATTCTTAGCTCCTTGAAATGCCAGTAATGGTAATATAGATTACGGCAACTCTAGACGCACGTGTATTCTTGGAATCGGTATATACTGCCAGCGTTTGAAATCAGTTCAGACTAAATAGGTGTCGCCTTTTTGGATAAATTTTATCGATCAGTTCATATCTTGGATATTAATTTTACCTCGACTTGATGTATAAGAAGGCGTCGTATCTGTGAATAAAAAATATATTTTTGCACTCTCAAAGATTATAATGACCGTATAATTTTTGTCAGCTGTTAATTCGCCAAACAAGTGAAACGACGGCACAGCATAATACATGCAAAGAAGACAATTTATAAAAGCTAAAATTTTACTAGCTCTGTTCAATTTTCAAGAAAAAGATTGATGATTTTACCTGGACTAGATGTATTAGAAGGTCTTGTTGCGTTAGCTATAAAAAAAACAAATAAACTTAATTTTTTACAAATTGGTAACATTTTTCTGACCTTCTCTCTCCATGCGAACCACGGATTGTCTTTTGATTTGCGCCATAAATCTAAATGGCAGCAAATAAATTTTGAAGCGGGATAAAAAAGAGAGAATATAGCGGTTTGTATCAGAAATTTTTCTGCGTCCAGTTTGGAACAAATTCTTTCGCTTTCCCAGGATGCTTTTTGTTGCTCTGACAATTTTTTGACCGATATGTTGACAATCTCTCAGCGTGATATCTTTTTAACTATTTCGGACCTTCGGACAAGATTCCTCTGGTGTCGTTAGTGTCGGGGGGGGGGCATTTATTCATATATTCATGTTTGGCAATATTAGTTCCTTATGAAATTGATTGTTTTTACGCTATATAAATATTTGCCCTGATGTTAACGATCTTCCGTGACCTCTGTCTTCTAGATAATTATTAACTTTTTCAAGCAGCACAAAAATGTTTAAAACATTAATAAAAGTTTAGATATTAATCAACAAAAATAATTTATAGATCGATCGAAAAACTTGCTATTCAGTGGATAGCGCCATTTTCGAATAACCGCGACTGGGCAGTGAAACAACATTGAGTACCAATTATTTATTACCTGGATTAGTAGTGGGTGCAATGGTGCCTGTAAAGAGAAAACGAAATTCCTCTTTATTTTATTTTATGTAATTTATGCAGCGTTGTAGTGGAGGTGAATATTCATATACTCAGTTCTACCCGACGGAGCTGTATTTTAAGCTATTGCACTTGCAAGTGTAATCCGTCCGGCAGCATTAAATATATGAATACTCACCCCCCCAAATTTCAATCTAGTTACGCCACTGAATTAATGTCGAAATATTTTTCTTATTTTTAGCTCCTTGATATGCCAGTAATAGTAATATAGATATCATTACACGTTAACGAATGTCTAAATTAACCCAGCGCACTATGACAGCTAAGTTGTCCCCTACACAAATAAATTACTTCATTTCAATTATGTCGCTCATATACGACCCGCTGCTGACGTCGACCAGGTCATTGAAATATCAAATTACGCGACTCAAATACACAATTGACTTATAGCGCATCTTCATCTGGTTGAAGACTATTGGGTTTATTATCCCTTGCTTATCGCTGCAAGGTAAATAAATTGACGGTGACTCGAGGCGTGTGGCCTTTTTTGGATTAAATTTTATCGATCAGTTCATATCTTAGATATTAATTTTACTTGGACTTGATGTATAAGAAGGCGTCGTATCTGTTAATAAAAAATATATTTTTTATATTTTTTTTACATTCTCAAAGATTATAATCACTGTTTAAATTCTGTCAGCTGTTAATTAGCCAAAGAAGTGAAACAACTTAACAGCTTAGTATACAAAGAAGACCATTTTTAAACGCCAAAAATTCGCAGTTCCCTCAGCTTAAATTTCAAGAAAAAGATTGATGATTTTACCTGGATTAGATGTATTAGAAGATCTTGTCGCGTTGCCTATAAAGAAAATAAATGTATGTAAAATGTAAATGTTTGCCATAAATGTAACTGGCTGCAAATAAATTTTGAAACGGGATAAAAAACGGCAAACAAGGGCCGACAAGATTATGTTAAAGAAGCGAAGAGCTGTCAAACTTATTTTTTGTATCAACTATACCTAATTAATAATGTTAGTTTGTACAATCTTTTCCACAACGAATATTCTTCTAAAAACTGTTTTACACATCTGCAGTCGTATCGTAGCGAGATGTGGCGTATTTCCTTGTTTAAATATCGTAGCAAAACGTGGTGAATCTTTAATCTTTATATCTCATCGATTCATTCTACGCGCGATTCGTTGCAATGCGAAACGGACCTAAAGCCTTATTGAATGCATAATTTGTTTCTGACAATCATGCTAAGGGTTAATTTGAATCGATTTGATCGATTGAAAAACCTGCTATTCGTCGGATAACCGCATCTGGGCAGTGAAATATCAACATTGAGTACCAATTATTTATTACCTGGATTAGTAGTGGGTGGAATGGTGCCTGTTAAGAGAAAAGGAAATTCATCCATGTATTTTTTATGTAATTTATGCGGCGGCGTAGGGGAGGTGAATATTTATATATTCAGTTCTATACCCGACGGAAGCTCACCCCACAAATTTCGTTCTAGTTACGCCATGAATTTATGTCGAAATTTTTCTTATGCTTAGCTCCTTGAAAGGCCAGTAATAATGATAAAGATTACATGTAACGAATAACTCAATTAACCTATGGATATATTTCATTTCAATATGTTCTCAACGACCGCTGCTGACGTCGACCAGGTCATTGCATGAAATGTCAAATTACGTAACTCAAATACACAAGTGCCTTATAGCATCTTGGTCGGGTTGAAGACCATTAAGTTTATTATCCCTTTGCTCATCGCTGCCAGTATATACTGCAACCGGTACAATTATATTGCAAGCGTTTGAAATCAGTTCAAACAAAATAGGTTGCCTTTTTTGGATCAAATTTTATCGATCAGTTCATATCTTAGATATTAATTTTACCTGGACTTGATGTATAAGAGGGCGTCGTATCTGTTATTAAAAATATTTTATTTTTCCACATCCTTAAAGATTGTAATTACCGTTTAATTTTTGTCATATGTTAATTTGCCAAACAATGGAAACGACTTAACAGCATAATATACAAATAACACCATCTACAAAAGCTAAAAGTTCGCTTAGTTCAATTTTTAAGAAAAAGATTGATGATTTTACCTGGATTAGATGTATTAGAAGGTCTTGTCGCGTTGCCTATAAAGAAAATAAAATAACTGAAATTTTCTAAAATTTGTAAGAGTTTTCTGACCTCTCCTTTCACGAACCACGGATTGTCTTTTAATTTGCGCCATAAATGTGACTGGAAATCAGTCGCCTGATATTCAAATAACATGCAAAATATGTATTCGCACTCGATAGATGATATTACTGAAATTGCCTTCATCAAAGGTTCACAGAATACAGAAATGGAAAGTTACTGAATACAAATAAAATTGCTTTAGTTCAAGACATGTTTTTGATCAATGTTTTTTAAACAGAGGATTTTTACCAGTGGGGTGGGGTCGGGGAAAACATGGGGATAAGGCCCCTCATGATCTATATGTTAAAAGAGGCCCAATATGACTAGATCTGATTGTAGCAAATTAGGTATGAAGCCATTTTACATGCTATTCCATCTCCACTAAAGCCAAAGTTGCAAGAACAGTCGAACGACCCATTGGTATTGCGACATGATGCTTGAGAATGACAGTTATCAATTCCAAGTTCACATTCATTGATATCTAAGATATTACAATATAAAATACATAAACTCCCATATTTTTAACGGTTAAATCTATGTTTTTTAACCAAAAAGAGGAAATTAAATTGCAAGGGAATTATGAATTATCCTCGTCAATTTTTTTGCAAAATATTACCAAATACCATGCAAATAATTAGTATAAGATGTAACCTGTGCAAGGTTACGCCATCTCCGGTATAACCGTTTTCACAAATGCAGTAAAACGATTCATTCGTATTGACACATGACGCTCCAATAGCGCAGTTGTGTGTTCCAAAGTAACATTCATTTACATCTAAAATATAATATTTACATAGACATGCATTTTTAGAATACTTCAATTTTACTACCAGGCAGTTACTTGACTCAGAGTGTCAGTCTGTTTTGTTCTTAACCCTAATTTTCTTACGAGCAGAAAACAGAACAAACTTTTATAAGTTTTAATATTTTCTTCCCGATATATTTGAAACTTATTTCTTACCTAATGGTGTTGAATAGTTCAGAACAAATCCCGGTGCTGACACGCTATAATCCGAGTGACACGATGAAGAGTTTGAGTCCAGATGATACCAGGCTTCTTGGTAATTGGTTTCCACAGAATCTGCCCAGTTTCGTCGTATTTGCTGAATCTCCATCATAAACTTCCAAATAGTCAAATCCACACTGTAACTACCTTCCAGCTAAAACGTCATGCATTTTTGTAAATTATTTGTCAATTTTGCACATACGAATTAAATTGATTTTAAACTGTTTAAAGGTTTAAACTATACTATTCTACGAATTTCTAAGTTCAGTCAATGAAAGATTGCTAATATTCAATTGATAGTGCATCGTCTGCTGATTAGCTCAAAGTGTACGGATATTTTGAATGTTCTCGTTGTTGTCTGTTGAGGGTTTTGTCGCGCCAGCTTGTTATCTTTCTACACAATGAAATTTGCCATGAAAAGGCTTGTTTTTTTGAAATTCAATAAATAATAAGACAATTTTCAAGTCGGCTTTCGCAAGTTATCTAGGATATACTGACATTGACCTCTGCCTGAACATTCCGGATACCCTGCGCTCATCCAATAATTATATTGGAATCGTCACTTCCGGTGAAATGGAGCTAAGTGTTTGGTTGAGAAGAATTTACTTCCATATAAAATTCAGCTATTTATATCATAATATTTGCGCTCATGCAGTTGTCCATAAAAAGATAATTTTGTTTTCCATTTAACTTATAGCCTTTTAAGCTAAACGACTTAAACGACCATAGAACAACTTAACCCAGACAGTTTAGGCCGAGTTTACGTAACCCAAATAATTTAATGTTTTGTTTTTGTTTTTATCACTGCGTACCAGGCTAATAATACGAATTCATGCATTTCTTGTTTCTTTCAAGTGCAAATATATGCCTTATGCCATATAATAATATTTTATTAACCTCGTTTGCTCGATCTTTATCGCGAGAAATATCGGTCTTCGATATTTTTGAACAAACCTTGGTCTTTGAGCTCGTTCCGTTCAAAAAGACCTCGGTCCGATATTTCTCGGTAAAGATTTCACCTCGGTTAATAAGAAGTAAATATTTAGAAAGAATAAAAAATTTTTAATCTTGAACTGTTCTAGGAATAGGATATTAAAAAATATTTTTCCTTTTCGAGAAAAGGAAATAGTTTTTATAAAAAAATCTGGACATTTAAAGTACTAAAATTATCAGCCCAGTAGATCAACTACTTCTTGATGCCAAACCTATAAGCGAGGCATAATTTTTTTCTTTGATATATTTATGTTCACTGACTGTAAAAACAATCAATTTGAAAAGAAATGAATAAGCTATTTAAAAAACGATTACGTGAGTATGCTCCCCCCCCCCGCCTATAAAGCTCGCAACGCCTCTGTTCTTTGTATTAGTTAAACCGTTTGATTTTCAATTGAACTGCGAGCGAATTAACATATCTTTCTCGACAAAACTTGAACGTTAATCGCACTGATAAAGCAAGATGGGGGAAATATCGCAAAACGTTAGTGGATGAAGATCAATATTTAGGAAAAGGATATTGATATAAACATATTTGCATGATGTTACTATGCAAACGTACAAGAATATTGATAAAGTTTACGACTGAGCGGGAAAAGAGAAACGATACACTAGCTGACGCGTAAGCAGTGTTTCGGGATAAAAATGATAAAACGATGAAGTTATTCGAACAAAAACATGTTATGTCGCTAAGGTTTTTTCGCCCAAACAGGGCCGGAGGAGCAATAAATTAGGTAAAAGTAGCCTACCAAGAATGAAGTAAACTGTAGTAAAATTTTTCTTCCATTGGTGCTGGAAATCGTCCAACTGCAATCCAAGTAGTGAGGGTATGAAAGGGGATGAAGAGGGCTTGTGAGTTTTCCAGGAGGATACAGTTGACTTTCGCCGCATAATTCTGGAAATATTATTCACACAAACTTATTGAAGGATAGAGCAAAGTGGAATTTATCGCCGATTATTTATTATTAGAATAGTAAATAGGAACATGTTCAAACTTGAATTAGCCTAGACCTATATATGGGCAAAAGAGCATTAATTGAGGTAGGGAGCAATTATTCATATCTTCATGTTCGGCAATATTAGTTTCTTTTCCTCAATGCAAAAAATAATGAAAACGCAATGCCAAAGCCCTGTTTTCGAATATGCATCGTTAATAATAATTACTAATAGGTACTGTTACCTGGCGCTGATGTCGTAAAATTTCGTGGAATGTTTTTCGCTGTGAAGAAATAAATTAGTATAATTATTCTCCCGCATCAACTTATTTTGTTTTAGTTTGTATACTATTTAATTATGACTGCAATTGGAAACTATGGATTCCTTGTGAGTCTTGTAACAGTCATGCTAAGGGTTAATTTTTGTCTTAACTTCAACGAAATAAAAAAGATATCAAATTCAAGCGAAGAACTGCTGAGAAAAATGTGTCAACTATGCACGATCAAATCTTTATTAGCCAACACCTACGGCGGATTGCATGCATGTACGAAGGCTGGATATTCCTTTACATAGCAGGGGCCACGAAAGATCGTTAGGTTCGCGGGGGGGAAAATTATTCATATTTTCGGGTTAGCAATATTAGTTTCCTACGAAATTGTTTTTTTTTATCGTCAGCTGAAATGAATATATAAATATTTGGCCTCCAGTTTCCAATCTTCCGTGGCCCCTGCATCTACTAGACAATTATTGATTGTGCGCAAAATGTTTAAAAAAGAAATAAAACATTAGGTATTAACCAACAAGTATAATTTAGATCGTTTGAAAAACCCGCTTTTCGGTGGAGAGCGCTATATCCGTCGAATAAACGCGGCTGGGCAGTGAAACATCAAAATTCACTACCAATTATTCATTACCTGGATTAGTAGTGGGTGGAATGGTGCCTGTAAAGAGAAAACGAAGTTCTTCCATTTTTATTTTATGTAATTTATGCAGCGGCGTAGGAGAGGTGAATATGCAAATATTCAGTTCTACCCGACGGGGCTGTTTTAAGCTGTTGGACTTTCAAGTGTATCCGTCGGCTGAATTAAATAATGAACACCACCCCCCAAATTTCGTTCTAGAGCTACGCCACTGTTTTGTCGAAATATTTTACTTATCTCTCCTTGAAATGCCAGTAATGGTATATAGATTTACGGCAACTCTAGACGCACGTGTATCTGGAATCGGTATATACTGCCAGCGTTTGAAATCAGTTCAGACTAATAGGTGTCGCCTTTTTGGATAAATTTTATCGATCAGTTCATATCTTGGATATTAATTTTACCTCGACTTGATGTATAAGAAGGCGTCGTATCTGTGAATAAAAAATATATTTTTGCACTCTCAAAGATTATAACCGTATAATTTTTGTCAGCTGTTAATTCGCCAAACAGTGAAACGACGGCACAGCATAATATACAAAAGAGACAATTTATAAAGCTAAATTTTACTAGCTCTGTTCAATTTTCAAGAAAAAGATTGATGATTTTACCTGGACTAGATGTATAGAAGGTCTTGTTGCGTTAGCTATAAAAAAAAAAAATAAACTTAATTTTTTACAAATTGGTAACATTTTTCTGACCTTCTCTCTCCATGCACGAACCACGGATTGTCTTTTGATTTGCGCCATAAATCTAAATGGCTGCAAATAAATTTTGAAGCAGGATAAAAAAGAGAGAATATAGCGGTTTCTATCAGAAATTTTCTTCGTCCAGTTTGGAACAAATTCTTATCGCTTTCCCAGAATGCTTTTTGTTGCTCTGACAATTTTTTGACCGATATGTTGACAATCTCTCAGCGTGATATCTTTTTAACTAATTCGGACCTTCGGACAAGATTCCTCTGGTGTCGTTAGTGTCGGGGGGGGGGAAATTATTCATATATTCATGTTTGGCAATATTAGTTCCTTATGAAATTGATTGTTTTAACGCTATATAAATAATTGCCCTCGTGTTAACGATCTTCCGTGCTCTCTGTCTTCTACATAGATATTAACTTTTTCAAGCAGCACAAAAATGTTTAAAAAATTAATAAAAGTTTAGATATTAATCAACCAAAATAATTTAGACAATTCGAAAAACCTCCTATTCGGTGGATAGCGCCATTATTTATTACCTGGATTAGTAGTTGGTGGAATGGTGCCTGTAAAGGGAAAAGGAAATTCTTCCATATTTTATTTTATGTAATTTATGCAGCGGCGTAGGGCAGGTGAATATTCATATATTCAGTTCTACCAGACGGAGACTCACCCCGAATTTCTTTCTAGTTACGCCACTGAATTTATGCCGAAATATTTTCCTATTCTTAGCTCCTCGAAATGGCAGTAATAGTAATATAGATATCGTTTCATGATAACGAATAACCCAATTACCCTATGGATTATTTCATTTCAATTATGTCCCTCAAACGACCCGCTGCTGACGTCGATCAGGTCAATGTATGAAATGTCAAATTACTTAACTCAAATACACACGTGCCTTATAGCATCTTGGTCGGGTTGAAGACCATTAAGTTTATTATCCCTTTGCTCATCGCTGCCAGTATATACTGCAACCGGTATAATTATATTGCAAGCGTTTGAAATCAGTTCAAACAAAATAAGTGTTGCCTTTTTTGGATTAAATTTTATCGATCAGTTCATATCTTAGACAC